CCGGTGCCCTGCCCTCGCCCCCTTGCCCCCCCCTGCATGCCCCCTGGTCCCCCTGGTGGTCGTACCTCTCCCTAATCGGCCGGCCGGCCCAGGTATGGCAGCGCCCCGGGGGATCTCGCGTCATAATCACGGAGCGCCCGAGGGCCCCCCAGCCCAGCCCGGGCACAGCCTGCACAGCCCCGCCTCCTGCCCGAGCTCGCTCTTCGTCTCCCTTATGCTCTTGTTCTCTCCGCCTGTCTCTCTCTCTTTCTGCTTCCCAATCTCTATCGTATAGTGCACTACGGAAAAGAGCGCGCGAAGTTGTCGTGTGTATATACAGCCCAAAAGAAAAAAAAATGGCACACTCGCCTAACTCTATTCTATTCACCTTCGCCGTCTCCCCTTAAAACCACAGCTCTAGATCGCCAAGACCAAGCTGCCTGCAATTAACCCTGTTGAAGTTGGAGGAACCCTGGACAAACCATGCTGACGATTCAGTCTGCTTTGTAATGGCGAACGACTGGGTTTGTAATGCGAAGAAAATCTCCTTCGCCATTGCGAAGAAATCCTTTCACAGACTGCAGCCAATTCCTTCGCTAAACGAACGAATCAATGGGATGGGACGCCCGGAGCCGCACTGTCTCGGCTGCACTCGGTCATTTCCAGTGCACTTGCTCCGGAGGAGCGGCTCATCACTCCAGGTACAGGAATAACTCCAGGGACTCCAGGAGGTGCCGGGCAGGCCGATCTGGACACGGAGCAGCAGCCGTGGCAACAGGTTGGCTCGTTCGCACGGCCCCGAACCCGGCCCGGACTGGACGGCCGGACCGCCGCGCGCGTTGCGTCGCGTTTGTCGCGCTCCGCGGCGGCCGCTGCCCAGACGGGAGCGTCGGCCAGCTGTCCAGGTGGTCCAGGTGGGCGGCTGTGTTCCCCCCTATCCTGTCCAGCGGGCAGGCGGCTTTCCAGGCCGCTGGGCAGCGCGGCGGCGGCCTGGTGCTTCACACGGGGAGGAGGCGGCGCGGGCGGGCGGCGCAGGTCCAGGGCGGTTCAGCATAGTTGTATCAACCGCACCCAGCCCGGCAGGCGCACTCGGCCCGGGGCCAGGTGGCCGCACCAGCTCCAGCCAACTCCAGCCAGCTCCAGCCGGGGCCGGGAGGTTTTCCCTCTCAGCTAGCTGCTGCTGCTGCTGCTGCTGCTGCTGCTGTTAGCTGTGTTGCGAAATACAGCAGTACGAGCGGTGCTGGGTAGTGCTGGGGAGGCGGGGCGGCGGAGCCGGCGGGCCTGGCCATGGCGATGTGTAGCCCCGGGGCGCAGCCGCCGAGCCGAGCGCCCCACACTATCGCCGAGGGGCACGGCGCGGCCCCCGCCCCGCCACTCCCTCCACCGGGCTGCCTGGCTAAAGTGGCGTGCGTGGGACGTACTCTGAGGCAGCACCTCGCTAACGCAATCCACTCGAGCAGCAGCGTGGAGGGTGGAAGGTCACGGGTACGAATAGTTGCGCGGGCTGATTTAAGTTCATGTGAACATGACCCTCAGTGAAGTTGAAGTAAGTCTAAGGTAAAGCATGCCTGACACTGAACGGGCATAACTGCCAAGACAAGCGGGCGAAATCGGGATGGTGCTGATTCCACGTCTTTCTCTTTCCTCTCTCTTCTCCCTCCTTCTCTCTCTCCCTCTCCCCCCCCCCTCTCTCTCTCTTTCGCGACCTGCGCGCTTATTAAGGCTATAAATCCTCATTAGGCTGGCCGAGGAGGCGCGGGGGTCGGCCCAAAAGCCCCTGACCTGAAAGAAATCACGCTTTTGCGACGCGTGGCGAGGAAGAGTTGATGGCACGCCGCCGGGCGGCCGGCAGTAGTAAGAGTCCCCCATTAGGGCCATCCGCCATCTTGGTCCCCCAATCTGACATGGCCCCAATCTGCCGGTTCCCCATTCTGCCATCTATCCAGAGCCTAACCCAACCTAAGGGTGGGTCTTTTGAGCCCCTAACATAACCTAACCTAACGAAGGGGTGGGTCTTTTGAGCCCCTAACAGAACCTAGGTCTTATCAACCCCTAACCTA